TCCCTACACAGGCAGATTAAGTCAGGTCCCTAAAATAACATTTTTACTTTCTTTGTGTGTCATGATACTAAGGTACTGTGCCCACTGTGCATTTCACCAGCACAGAGTATACTAGCTCTCTACCAATTCTGTAAGACAAGGATATCAGGGGCAGGTTTCCTCCTCTTGTCTGGGATAGGAACAGGATCGTTTGGTCGCCGCCTCAATTTTCTCGTCATGATAGGCTTCACTTCCATAGAATCTGTAGGAAAAAAGATGGATAGCTGATGGTTAAGACCACAGAGATTCTAAAAAGGAAGATAAGGAAAGCTGAGAAGGTATCAGCAAGTTCCCATACAAGACAAAAATGGAAAACAATCTCTCTTTCATAGTGAGGATTTCTCTATTGCAACTGTCCGCACTCACTATACTGAGACTAGTAGAATGCAGGGTAGATCTGCATCTTATAGACTGACCAACGTATAATATATTATCACAAGCTTTCATTAGCTAATACTCGCTTAATCAAATGTCACATCTGACAAAATGGGCTTCAGCTCACGAGAAGCTTGTGCTATGTAACTACTTTGGTGTATCTCTATACTGAGACTGCCAACAGAATTGCCAAAATTCCTCAGGGTATCAGTAAGAAATTGAGTTAAATGCAGCATTGTGACATCATGATGACAGCTATGCCACATCAGGCAATTATTTTTTTAGAAGCTATAATAAGGAGATTTTTGTTAGATACCATTAAATGAAGTAATGTGCTACTTTAAAATCTCAGGACAAAACGACTTTTGTGATAGTAAGTACAAAAACACCTGCTCTGAACCAGAGATTTTTCTGGACTTGTTTATAAAATCTCTTGAACCAACAAAATATTAATTAATATTTTAAACAGATTTCCAGCCAACAAGTCACTGGTATTTCTTTTTTATTACTGGGAAAGAATTACATTGGGAGCACATGGAAAATTAGGGAATGCAAGGCCAATAAAACTTTGTTCAGGTCATCTAAAATTCACAGAAAGCATTTAAATCCAGAAGATCAAGGTTCACCAAACTAGCAAAGTTCACATTATTTGCCACTCACCTACACTCACAGAAATGGAACATAAACATTTTGGCACAGAACGGGAAAAAATATATCTATCCAGCTGAAATGGCAAGAGGAATTTAAGTATGAATAACTACTTGATTTGGGATTTGGCTAGGAGTCCAGAGCTAATCTTAAATGAACGATTTAATTCAAACAACTCTGATCATGTCAACCCAAAATATGTATAGATGCCCTGATTCAGAAGGAGGGAGACTACAGAAACACTATACCACTGAGGACAGAGACCAAATCTGCCTCACAGAGTGAATTCTTTGAGCAATGTATAGCTTCTATTGTTAGTTTCCAAATGGAGCTTCAACCAGTTGGTTTTGATCAGAACAAAGATTTTCACAATCAATGACAAAGAGCAAGACAAAGAAAAAAGCCCTCTGGGTAAAAATCTCTTCCTTCTTTATCCCACCCAAGTACTATACTTTGTCCCAAGTGAGATCTCTCAGCACTGCAAATAAAAATGATGCACCTCACATTGTGTACTTTTCCAGTATGCTTAATGAGTGTTTCTAAAGGGAATCAAATTAAACCCTACATAAAAGAGTAGAAAACTGAAATATGCTAGACTTCAGTTCAAGACCTGCATTCAAACAAGAGGAAGAGTACTATAGTTTATCAAATGCCACCTATGAAGCAGAAGCTCAACATGCTTTTGAAAAAGAACATCAATATGGGCTATTCTTAACCAGTATGATGACTAATGAGCATGTCAGAGTATTATCCAATTGCCCAAAATTAATAAGCTTTGGAAATTGTAATAAGATGGAAAAACTTCTTTCAAAATTCTATCTAAATACATCTACCTCTTTGGTTAAATTGCTTTCAATTTAACAAATACATACAAGTATAAGTATTTAAGCACAGAGGCTGAGGTTTTCTAAGCTACTTAGGGGATTCAACCACAACTTTCATGGATATTAATGCAAGTTGTATGACTAGATTCCCCAACCCCCTTAGTTCTGCACATCTTAATGTAGGCAGCTAACAGAAGTACTCAAGATTTCAAGTAGCACGTGATGAAATCCAGGATGAGAACCCTTATTTGTGTTTGCATGACATATTTACAATCATATGCAAACTTTGTCCAAGTTAAATGTAGGCAGCTACATTAGACACTCAAGCCTAGTTACTATGGAAGTTATAAGGACGCTCTTATTTGAATACTGTGCTTAATCCTGTCAAAGTAACAGCTTGTGGACAAGACCTGAAGACCTAACTGTAAAAAAAGATTTCTTACTATGGACAAATGGTTCAGATGACACACAAAACTATGCTCCAAAGGACGTAACACTTATGTGTCTTCCTGCAAATGACTACAGGATGTAAAAGGTTTGTGTTGTGCAACATGGATGCCTGGCACAATGATGGGAAAGTATGTAGTATGGAAGCTCATTTATGAATATGGATGTCTAAATGAAATTTGACTTAACTGGGAGTATTTCAGTAGTTTAAATGCTCATATTCTTGTTACAAAGAAGCCAACAACATGATCCAGTCAGCACCACTAAGGCCTCACCTTAAGTACGGCTTCCAGTTTTGGGTCCCACACTTCAAGAAGGATGTGGACACACTGGAAAGAGTTCAATGCAGAGCAACCTATATGACTAGGGACCTGGAAAGCAAGATTTATGAGGAAAGGATGAAAGAATTGGGATTATTTAGTCTGGAGAAGAGAAAACTGAGAAGGGATTTAATAATAGTCCTCAAACACCTGAAAGGCAATTATAGAAAGGATGAAAATGGGCTTTTTCTGTGCCCATAGAAGGCAGGACTAGGAGCAGTGGCCTCAAGCTGCAACAGAGGAAATTTAAATTGGAGACTAGGAGAAAAAGTAGACTCAAACACCCTAATTATGAGGGCAGTCAATGGTCAAGCACTGGACCAGGTTACATAAAGAAGTTGTGAAATCTCCATCCTTATATATTTTCAAGAGCAGATTAGACAGACACTTGGCTGGGGTGATGCTGCTTTGAGCAGGGGGCTGGACTAGATAACCTTGTGAAGTCCCTACCAGTTCTACTTTCCTATAGTTCTATGATCATGTATAAAGTTTGCTGCAGATGTTCTTAAGTAATTAACTCAAATGGCTTCCCATAATTATACAGCTCTTAATATACTGACATTTCAGACATATCTTCAAATAAGCCTAAAATTGTACCCACGGTAGCTTTCCCCTGTTGATGCAACGTCTCTCGCTTTATCCAGATGCTGAAATCCTATAACATGTTCAAAACAGCTCAGATTAAACTTCCCTTTCCCTCAAGGGTGAGCAAGGATCGCCATGGCACACATCAAAGCAACTGTTACTGCAGTAAAAGCAACAAATAAAGTTGCATTCACTGATGGGCTGACTGCAAAAAGAAATCTCATCTCTGTGACTGAATCCTGATTTTGAAAACATTAACATTAACATTAAAGGCCCTCCAGACACTGCATATAAGTTATGTTATGCGAGATGCATTCCGTTAATTAATTATGACTAATATATGTAAACATCACAATGGAAAGGTTAAAAGCAGTCATTCAGGAAGATATGCAGCCACAGCAAGTTGAGGTTTAAAAAGTTTTAATCGTAATTTTGACTCGAATCTGGAATTTATACTGCTTAAAATGGAGAGAAAAATCAGAATGATGTCATCCTCCTGCTTTCATCATCATCTTGGTACTTCAATTTTAGCAAGTTAGCAGATACAAAGTTATACTTAAGTGAGTTCAGAGTCGCTTACTTCTTAACCTAAGACATTTTTTTAAAGAGCTTGCACATTCTTAAATGAAGACCTACGCAAAACCTATATTTGAAAACCCATGAAAACCTCTGAAAGGCAGCAACAACACAAATATATCATGAAACCTTTGGTAATGAGTGGTTGGAACATAGGATTTCTACCTCTGGCTAAAACAGGGCACATCCATGAAGAGCAAACTATCTTCTAGTGCTAAAGGGGAAGCAGGCAAACTACTTCAAATGATAAAATGATTTGCTATGGTGGAAAAAAAAGAAGAAATTTTAGGAATTTTCTGGAAATTTTACATTTTACTAACATCACATTCTCAAGGCATCAAAGTGCTTGTTGGAGAACTTCTACTGAAGGACTAATGTTGTCCAGCCCAAACCTGCTTAACATTCAAGAACTATTGAAATAAGAGGCCAGAGACATGATGTGTAGACCGCTTTAAAGCACATTTTACTGAGCTATTTATTTCCTTATGAGTAGGCCTCCTCTCAGTATCATCCTGAGTTATTCTTATAGATAACTTTTCCCCAAAAATTTTAGGATGCAAGTTAACCCATCCCCTTGGAGTAAAAACTTGGAGATCCTCAGATAAAAGGAATCTAGCAGTACTGAGTTTGAGTTAAGTTTTGGCTAGGCACTGTGGACTGAAATGTATTTTGACTCGCCTAACAAAGCCAATAAGTTCAAACAAAACAACACCAATGCCTAAATTTTATAAAAAAATAGTCCCATTCAGTTTGACTTCATAAGATATATACTACAAATGTATGGTCTGACCAACTGTACTTCCAGGTCCACAAAGCAATGAAAATCCGAAAGACACTGTTAACATAAAATGCACCCTTTTACTCCAAGCTTTTAAAAAAATAAAAATAAATAAATAAATAAAAATAAAAATAAATCAAGCTTTAGATGCATAGTTCTCAACCTTTTTGATTTGAGGCACACCTGGACAGACTTGAGGTACCCTTCACAAACATGCCATCTCTGAGTTTTCACTTTTTTGGTTTTTTGAGCACAGAAAAATAATAAAGCAATTTTTCTTTTGCAAAGAACTCAGAAAGACCACAATTATGGATCTCCATTTGAAATCTCTGAGTTTATCTTTTGAATCATGTTCACAAATGTAACAGGGCTAATAGTGTAGCACTCCATGGCACCCTTGAAAGGATCTCAAGGTGCCAAGGTTGAGAACGACTGCTTTCGATTATGAGTACTTTTTCTTAGTCAAGAAAGCTAAGAATTTCACTTAAATCTGTCTTATCTTCTGGATTTGAAGCTGGCATGTGCCTTTATTCTTTTCCAACTAATGCACAGCTAATTTTTGCCCCCACATTTTGCAAACAGCAACCTAACTGCCCCATATCCTGGACACAATTTCACAAGGAAACACAAAATTAAAAACTTTTAAAATAATTAAAAACCACAAAAAATAAGAAAAAAAAATGTATCACGTCTTGAAAATTACAACATCTATTTAAGTTTGTTGCCTTTACCACGCATTGTAGGAAGTCCATCTTCATCCCAACTTACTACTTTGAAGTAATTATAAGCATGAAGCTATATTTCTTCTGTAGGTGGTCTAATTTTATACTCATCAGATTTAGAACCTACACTGAAAACTGTAACTTCAGATCAATGACTTCTCTTTATAAAAACGAAGAAAAGCAATCCCCCCTCCCCCCCGCAACCTACTGCAAATTCAGATGACTTTGGAGCCAAAAATCGCATGGAGATGTATTGTTAGATCACATGCAATGAAACCATGAGATTTAGAGAAAGCTTATCTGGAATGATAACCCAACTAAATGCATTCCTTGGATTTCTCCAAGAAATTCACCAGTTAATATTGAGAAAGTTGAGAGAGAGTAGGGTTTTATTTATTATTTGTATCATAATGCTTAGGAGCCAACCAAACCCAAAAACCACAATTAAAAAAAAACACCCAGCTGAGAGAACAGTCTACTTTATTTTATCCATAATGAACCTTTCAGGGATCCAGTTAACTAATACTACACATATGTACTGGAATTGGATCATTTCCATATCCCCGCCCCCCCCAACAAATTATGTATGTGTTTCATGAATAAATATCCCCAGTCTTACCAAAACTGCATGTTTTCATTAATTTACTCGCTTTTTCTTCAGATTTCCGTCTCATCTACATTCTGGATATCGTATTGTTCTAGTGCTCTTTGCAAATGAAATCTTAATTATATGGGTTTGTCAGCCTAAGTAGCTCGTTGAATTAATATTCTAGTCTATGTAATGCTTCTCAGCATGGAATGCAGGTGCCTCATTTCAGAGTAACTTATTCACTGTAACTGGTATCCATAACCAAATAATGTTCCTTTAAACTTATCTTGGCAGACTTAATTACAAAAGCAGTTGTTATTAAATTAATATTGGCTATGAGAATTTGTTTAATACATTGTTTTTCTAATGAAATGCATGAAACTCTGGACCGATGACATAACTGACATCACAACACATAAATGAGATTTCCTCCTCCCTTGGAATGAACAGGAGCAAGATGGCCCAATGTCACACACAAGATTTTGCAAAATAGGAAGCAAGCTGAACAATCTCAAAAGGCAACAAAAGAGCAAACCAGTTTTTTGAAGCTTCTGTTTTAAGTCATTCTATCACACTATAGATTAACTGAAAGCTGATTCTTCCACTGAAAGCAGGCTGCAGCAGCCATGCCAGCACATTCACCTATCGTTTTGCAGACTATTATGACTCAAATCTTGCAATCTGTATTCTTAAAGACATGTATCCTTAGAGCAACAAGACAGATGGATAGGTAAGCATTTTTCAGGCCAAAAGAGATCAAGAGTAGACCTCCAACTGATCACATTAACAGTAACTTGTAACTTCAGGTAATCAGTGCTAAAACTTGGTTAAACACAATGCTTCCTGCATCAGTAAGTTTGCTTCCACAAGACTGGGCCTACTTATGAGAAGCACAGGTCAGAAAATGCAAGCTGTGTCCATGTGTGGCAATACCTTTTTGGAACCCTTATCAAGATTTTAGATAGGGGTGCACCAATAAAGATTTTTTGAGCTGATACTTATGGCCAATTATTGACCAGCCATATCAGTTGATACCGATCCGATTGCTGATATGCAGCCTGGCAAATTGAAGAACAGCATTTGGCCGGTAAGTCTGTTGTGGGGAAGAGGCGTAGAGGGGTGTGTAGATTGAGACTCCCATGGTGAGGGAGGGAGTGGGAGTGGGGCTGGGGCAGACACTTCTCAGTGAAAGTGGGGCGGGGTGCGGGATGGAGTCAATTGACAACAATGTCAATTTTCCTTTTATCGTCGCTGATATGATATGCACCTCTATGGTGCAACTCTAATTCTGTGGTGATATTTCAATTCAGGACAAGGTGCTCATGAGGCCAGGGTTAGACTAAGCAGGCTGTACAAAGTCATCAGCATTCCTAAATCTATCTACATGCATTTCACATCTTAATTCTGTATGTTACTGAAATATTAAGTCTCTTGTGCAAAAATTATGAAGTGAAAATATAAAAGGCATCATAGACAGATCTCAGCAACACAGTTAATGCTGTCTGTTCATAAGGTGAGGGAGTTGCTCTTTATTAGAAAAGACCTTTAGTCCAATATCACAGCAGCACCATCTGTGAAGTAAGCTAATTATCCTTCTACCTGCCTTTATTGTGTCAGTTATTGCCTTGGCTATGCATGCTGCACCTAGGATACCAATTGGCTCCATGAAAGAAATGCCTTCACTTACTGCCCATTTCCCAGAGCCTGGACATAAATGCATTTCTCCTAATCTATTTTATTGGCTTTCAACTGCATTTTTCAACCTTTATTGTTTGCCTCTATTCGGCTTTTTTAACATCTGTTACTGAAGAACTCAGAAGGCAAGTTAAACCCTGGCATTATTGATTAGGTCAACAGTGTGGCACATATTAACAGTTTTACTGCCAAACCATAACTGCTAAAGAAATCCTTTTTCCTGAAGATGGCGGTGGTCATAGAATGACACTTCACACCAACCTAACGGAAAAACAGGAACATCTCATGTGTGATTGCTAGAAGAATATAGTGACAAGGATAACTGAAATGCATCAGTTCCAATTGCCACCACCATAGTATAGGAAAATGATGATGGAAGCCATGATCAGTTAACTACACCCAGCCCAAGTGCAGCCACCAGGAAGAGGCTGGAGCAGAACTGACCCTGAGCGCACAGCAGCAGCTTGCCCTTACCCCGTGCATAGATCCGGGTGGCACATGCTACCCTGGGGGTGCGCACAGTGG